AGAGGAGGCTTAAAGTAGGGATGAACATTTTCGAATATAGGTCATATATGAATTATTTTTTATATTTAGATTTGGTACTTACTCAAATAATTGAATACTTATATTTAGTATTTAACACAATAAGTATCAAATAACTTCCAGCTATATACTTATATACTAAGTGTAGGGAAAGAAAAAGTTTAATATGAGATATTATTGTTACGTGTGTTATGTGTTTGATTTAGAATTTAAAAAAATGATTTTAAGGCAAATTTTTTATACCACATTTTGATATAATTTGACGTGTCATTTAAATAATTAGTTCTTTTTATTCATGTAAGACCCATGATACTTAATGCATCTACTCATTTAATGACATGTGGAAGTTGAATCAAAAAGTAGTACAAAATAGTTGTCCCTACAACACCGTCTTAAAATTTATTATTTATATGAGTTGTTATTCCTACATTTGTGATTTGTTTGGCTTATATACCTTATTTAATTCTTATTTCTATATTTTGTATTTTATTATTTTTATTTTTAAAAATTATTGTTATTATATAAATATTAAATATAATAATATAATTAAAATTTTAATTATATAAATATGAGTAATATGTTAGTTAAACAAGTCGGTTAAATAGATCGGATAAATAGTTTTATAAACACTATATTTATTACTTGATTTGATACTTATGGCTACATTATTTTTATACTCATTAGTTACCCCTTTTTTTACAATTCAAATACGATAGTTACCCAAACAAGTAATGTACTTGCAAAGTAATGAATGTACCCATGCTCAATACTTAATGGTTACCTGTAGAGGTAAGCATTTACTGATACAAGTTGAGTATAAGTAATATTTGGTATGAGTAATGATAGGCGGGACGACACCGGGAGACGAAATTGAGGGACGACAAGTATTAGGAGGATTTATGCATGTGGTGTAATTACTAATTTAACTCCTACAATACTTGTTCGCCCCCCGACGTCATCCCCCCTATCATTACTCATTTGGTATTTAATTTGAAAATTTTTAAGTACAACTTCTTAGACTTAATACCTATTTAAATACTTGAAAACTTATACTTAATATTTAATCCAACAGATAGTAAGTAACTTATAGGTATATGTTTATATATTTGACTTAGGAAAAAAAAAAATCTAATATGAGATGTTATTATTGCATGTGTAATGTATTTGGCTTAAGATTTATTATTTATATAAATTGTTATTGTTGCGTGTATAATTTATTTAGTTTAGAGACCTTATTTAACTTTTCTTTTTATTTTTTATATTTTTCTATTTTTATTTTTAAAAATTATTGTTAGTATATAGATATTAAGTATGATAAATACATGTAAAATTTTAATTATATAAGTATAGGTAATAGGTAAGTCAAACAAATTGATTAAACCAATCAAATAAATAATTCTAAATCCTTATATTTATTACTTAATTTAATACTTATAAGTATATTATTTCTATACTCATTACTTATCTATTTTTTTATAATTTAAATATAATATTTATTCAAATAAATAAAATACTTATAAATAATATGTATACCCATATCCAATATTGACCCCAATTACATCTTCGTGACGTACTGGAGTCTAAAGATTGGGCCTAATTTTCCAGAATGCTAAAAGGCTCCGTGGATAGAATTGGGCCATGATAAATCTTTCCCCAACGCCCGCAGGCGCACACTAACTGCACCTCGATTTGTGTCGGACAAGTTTGGTCCATACTTTTTTATTTGTATGTAAATGCTCTTGAAGCAAACATTAAAGACCACGTACATATCATATGGAATTACGGATTACAATAATAAAATACTTATAATATTATATAATATTATAAATTTATAATATGATATATCAGTATATAATTAATTTTATTATTTAAAAATATACATGTAATATTATATATATATTTGTTTAATAGTATGTTTTATTTATTTAGTAATATATCATGATTATAAACATACAATTATATGTAATATTATAACTATAATACTTCCATACGGATTAACAGCTTCATTTTGTTGTAAATTTGGTAACGGGTAATTAATTAATTAATAAAATAAAGTTCCTTCAAATGCATGGTAAGATAGTCAGTCACCCCGAATGATTTACTACGAGGGAAGAAATATCCGTATAAATTAATATTGATGGAGAATTAGCTGGCTAGCAACAAGCAGATTAGGAAATAATTTTGATCACTCCGTCTAACCACCTTAAACAAACCAAAATTATTAGCGTGATTGATAAGTATAATACAGCAACATCAAACCTAATAATTGATAATGGTGACATTAGTGAGTGAAATGTCATAATTTTAAAACGTTGGATTAGGTCAAGAAGAATGAATCATGCATGTTAATTTCTAAAAAGAAAGTTCATATTTACTTTACTAGAAATTGATAATAATGCATGAAAATATGATTAGTGGATACATATATTTTGTTTGAATGGTTAAGGACTTTTTAAGTCAATTTATATGTATCTTAAGATTAATCCCTTTTTAAATAATCTTTTAAATGCATACATGCCTTCATTTTTATTTGATGTATTTAAAAAATAAATAAATTCTCTTATAAAACGGCACTTGTTTAATGATTAGTGAACCCAACTATTGAAATTAGTGGATGTATATGTTTACGCAATGCACATGGATGTAAACAAGAAGGCTCATAATTTCTTTCTGGTCTTTATCATATATGTACACCTTTTTTGGCTGATTATCATGTGTACACCAAACATGTATATAAGGGCATTGAAGGGGCGACAAAGCGTGCTTCTTCCTAAAGTTATATTTTTTTGGCAGTACTTCGTTAAGCTCTTTAAAGTTTAAACCTTAGCAATTAGTGAGAGGCTGCATCTTTCTCAAGCATTTGCAAAGTGCATGCGAGCATGTCCACTGTAACTTGCAATTCGTATGCAAATGTTTTATAATCATAGTCGTAAGCAATAACTTACCTGCACATGCCATTCACGAATGTTGATGAACCCATGACCAAATGAGCCAAAGGCTATAGCTTTCATTGCAAGTAGCATTCTTATACAGTATACTCCCCTTATTTAGACTTTATTTAATTTAGTTGATATATAATTGTAACTGTTAATTAATAGTTCATACCTATTTGAAAACAACTAACAAAAATATTTTTTCAAACACCTTAATAATTAACTGTCTAAAAAAAAAGCTACACACATAATTATAAACCCAACCAAGTCCTAATAAAATGAGTTTCTCTTAGTATTTTTCAGTTAATCAATTAAAAATATTTTCGATTAAAATTTTTTCCTCTTCTAGGAATCGGATTTTATTTTTCTCTTTTCAAATATATAGGATATAATATGTACACACATCATTCACACAGACGTGCGTGTTGAACATCTACATATGCAATAAGAGTAGTTTCCTTCCTCAGCAGGAGTTTCAAACTTTTCCTCTTGTCATTATTCTATATATAAACATGAAGCTATAGCATAGCAGAGAGAAGAGTCTGTACACGGGCGTGCAATTTTAGGCTTTCATTGTCAACACAGAGCGCATGCAGCCTTTTCCTCTCTTCCATCCCTCCGTTAGCCAAAAATATGTACAAAAAGAATAATACACCGGCTTAAGTAATGCTTCAATTGGAACCATGCACATTCAATTGCCATTCAATTTCTTGTTTAATTAATTATTTTCATCTCCCTCTTTCCATGTACATGCACAACAACACAACTAACCGCAAGTATTTATTCTTCTGTAATTCTACATTTAAATTTAAATTTTAATGAGAACATATCATTTTAATCTTATATAAGAAGATTAATCAGTGCTCTTCATTCCTTAATTTTTCTGAAGAAAAATGTTCCGGATTTGTTCCAAAATTATATATATCGTTAATTTTTTACTAAATTTAGATTCTAATACAATAAAAAAAAAAAAACAATTCTTTTAAACTAGAGAGAGTGGTTAATTAATTAAACATTGAAACGCAAGACAACAACGACATGTAGAAAGGTGAAATTTAAATCCTCCATTGACTTGCATATAGTTGATCTGTACATGCCGCAACTATTGCAGCGTCCTGCCTTTAGACTTCTAAGAGAAGGAGAAAAAATAATAATAATAATAATAGAAAGATATTATATAAAATATATATAGCTAAACAGCGATTTACCATACAGATGCTCTTAATTCTTGTTGTTTAGCTCACTAGCATTGGCAAGACTGCGCATTACATCCACCTGAGCACGAAGAGATAGAATATAATCTAGAGTTTCTTCAATCAAAGCGATTTCATCCATGAATTCACCGCCGGGTACCAGACTCTTCAACAGCAGGGTTCTTTTCCTAACCAACCTTTTCGCAATAGAAATTGCAAGAACTTTGTTGGGAGGTGAAGCAGCAATATTACTCTTTTTTGCCCTTCTGATCGATCCGTAGCTTCTTCTCAATACCTTCTTGCTCCTAATCCTCTTGTTGCTCATCAATGGCAAGACCGAGACCTTTTTCATTAATCTCTCGGACTCCGTACCCAAAATATGCTGGACTAGGATTTTGTCTTGCTCGTCTTTAGATGCATTGGCAACGAGAGCTCGACTCCAGCAGGTGGTGCCGTTCCTAGCAGATGCCATGGCTATGTCTGCGGATAACTTAATAGCTTTCTTTCTCTCCAAGAGACTCATTTTCTTCTTTAAAGAGCCGTATATGTGAAGACCCATCATCCATTTCTTCAGAAATTCTTGCTTGAGTGAGCTTGGAGAACGCATCCTAAATAAAGCAAGAAATTAAACATTCAGGATTGTTCATATATATATGAAAATGCAGCATATCATGCAAAAAAGAGTTACAACACACATGTATATATATATTATTACCTTACTAATTAAATTTCGAAACTGTTTCTCTAGTTAATTAAAATTAGAAGTTCTTTGTTGCAGTGAAAGACTAACAACAGTCCAAGAAAAATATGAGGCTAAGAGATCTCTACTTTGAAGCCAGAGAAAGAAAGATTTGGTTGGAAAACTTATTAATGAAGAACAATAATTAAGTAGTACCTTGTATACAGAATAATTTGTTGAATATTGAATGTGGGAAGAGTGATGATCTTGGGAAGTTGTGTGGAAACAGGTTTTGTGGAGAAGTGCAGTGCTGCAGATCCAAGAAAGTGTTATCAGTATCCGAGATATCGAAGAGGGGGAAGGAAGAGAATGAGAGAGAGAAGAATGAGCAGGAACTCCATTTATTTGCTAATAGCGAGAAGATGGTGGGCCTAGGAGAGAAAGACACAGCACATGCAGGCACATGGCATGCATGGCCCACCGCACAACCCCCCTGGAGGACATTACAAAAAAGAATTAAAAAAAAAAAAGGGGATGATTATATATTGATATACATTTTGTAGAAGTAATTTGTGTTAAAAAAATTCTTGTGCATGTTAGGTTGTATTAAATTATATAATTTAAATTATTTTATTAATTTATTTTAAGTCAAGGTAGTTTAATTTTTTGATTTTTAAAACATAAATTTT